GAGAGAGAGAGAGAGAGAGAGAGAGAGAGAGAGAGAGAGAGAGAGAGAGAGAGAGAGAGAGGACAATTGAGCGCAGCAAAGATGCGCGCGCGCACGCGAGAGAGAGAGAGAGAGAGAGAGAGAGAGAGAGAGAGAGAGAGAACTGCGAGATAGAGAGGGAGCGTGGATCGCGGAGCACATCGGAGCGGAGCGGCGATGGAGGTGAGGAACTGGCGGAGCGGGTCGACGATGAACGTACCCGCGCACGAGGGACCCCGACTAACGCCGTCGAATTTTTAATTCGATGGCATCAAAAGCGTTTGAACGCTTTTAATGCGTTTAACGGCGTTCAACGCGATTGAACGCGTGGGTTTTGCCGGTGTTTGGCGGGGTTTGGCGGGGTTCGTCAGGTACGTGGGGCGCTAGGGGGGGAGGTGGGGTGCTGGGGGGTTTGTTAGAGGGTTGGGGGACGGGGACCCAAGGCGGCAGGTGGTTAACAGGGGGGTTGCTTGAGGCGGTGCGTTCCAGGAGGGTGAAGGAGTATCGACTCGCGAGGGCCGTTGACATGGGGAGGGCACAGCGACGTCAGCATGAGCCTGCCCCTGGCCATGTGCAGGACACATTCAGGGGCCTCTCCCTTGTGTATCGTTACCTGGTTGTCGGCCAGAAGGTCGACAACAAGGGGGTCATGATGCTATGTTGCCCTTTTTGCAGCAAAGTATTCGAGGGGACCCAATTCCAAACCACGAGGCACTTTATGCAAACGAACTACTGCAAGGACGTCAGTGACGAGGCGTTGTACGAGATTGCGCAACGGACTCAACAGAAGTTCGAGTGTGATCAGATGGAGAGGGTTACCAGGTATGCAGCGGAGTGCAGACTCGATGTGCCGGGCACAGGTGGCGCAAGGGGAGGAGAGGCGCGGCGGCGTCCGGTGGAGGGAGCCTCAGGAGGGGTCGGGGGAGATGGTGGAGGTGGTGACACGAAGGAGGGCGCGATCGACTTCGATCGCGAGGCACGTGTCCCGGGCGAGGAGAAAGTCCCGGGACACGAGGACGTGCCTGAGGTTTATCCAAGCACTGGGGAGAGGATGGAGGAGTGTCTAAGGCGACCAGCGGAGGGACCTGTAGGGGAGGGTTCTTCCAAGAGGAAGGAAGGTGGAACACATCCGGTTGCCACCCCAACTGGGAAGAGGCTTCGCCAGCAGAAGGTGACTGAGGTCTACGGTGATGAGTGGGTTGCTCGCCACAAGAAGACCTTCCTTCGCTGGCTCTATTCCAACGGGGTCTCCTTCAATGCCTTCCGCAACTAGGCTTAGAAGGCATATCTGCAGGTGACAGAAGGTGCTTCTTGAGCAGCCTGGCAGTTTCCCGCGCGCAGTGCTCCCCAACCACAGCAAGATTGTGAGTATGCGGGCATTGGCGACCCACCGTGTGGAGCTGGCGGAGGAGTTGGAGAAGGTGAGGCAGCCTTTCTGGGTGCCTGGTGCCACCCTTCTCTCCAACGGGAGGAAATCACGAGACAGGAGACCGATCGTTAATTTCCTTGCCGCCGGTTCGCGAGGGATTGTCATGTACACAACGATTAATCGCGAGGGCGAGACGGACGATGCAGTGCACGTCCCTCGAAGATGGGTGACCATCTTCCATGAGTTAAGGTTCGACGGCCCGCAGCGGGTTAATGCGATATGCACTGACTCCGCTTCCGCGTACATGAGGGCTGCGAGGGCATTGGCCTCACCGACCATGCCTCGTGCACTCAATAGGATCACTTGGCTTCCGTGCTCCGTCCATGTCTACAACAAATTGTTGTCAGACATGGGGACGAGTTGCGACGCGTTTGTTGACGCGATTACACGCGCTCGTGTGTTGGTGGTGTTTTTCAAAACCCACCAAGCCGCCCTTCATTTTTTTAGGAACCGCAGCCCCAACAAGGGGCTTATTCTTTCTTGCGAGACACGCTTCGCGTCTGTTTATTCTATGTTGGAGAGGCTGTTGGTCTTGCAGGACACTTTGCAGGGTATGATGCGTGGGGATGAGGGGTGGGAGTTTGCTTCTACCTCGTGGTCCGCCGATGTGTGCGTCGTGGCGCGTTGGGTGCGCCGACAGATCAGATGGAATCCTTGGTGGCAGACGGTGGCCACCATGGTCCACATCACGCAGCCCGTCATGGAGTTGCTTAGGCGGATGGATCGTGGGGGACAGTACATGTCCCTCATGATCGAGTGCACACAGGATCTTGTCCGCCGTGTCACGGCTGCATGCGCTCCTTTGGGGAGCGTTTTCGGTGACTGCATTATCAGGCGTGTGCAGGCTCGCATACAACACATGCTAGTGCCAGCTCACTGCGCGGGGTTCTTACTGAACCCGCGCAGGGGACATGTTCAGTACTTTTAAGGCGAGGTGGAGGAGTACCCTGCTTGGCTTGTGAGGCAAGCCAAGAGGTACATTCTGACGCAGACGGGTTTCGAGGCGGATGGTGCGGAGTACATCATTGCACGTCGGCAGTTTGAGGACGTCCACATGCAGCAGGGCAAGTTTAGGGATTGGGGAGGGCCGGAGGGGCATGCTCGTGGGCGCGAGTGCAGCGGCGACAACGAGACGATTCGGTGCGCGTCCTGGTGGTCTCAGTACGGGTCTGGCGCGCCAGAGTTGCAGTGCTGCGCTCTTCGTGTGATGCACATGTGGTCTTGCGCCTCTCCAGCGGAGAGGAACTGGGCAGTCCACGAGGGCCTTCGAGAAGGTCGTTGAGCTCGTTGAGATCACCCCAAATATGCGGTTGACAGAGTATCGGGGGGTTGGATGCGGTTATGTGCTGCCATGGCAGCGGGATGAGGGCATGCTGGATTGCCAAACCAGACTAGAGTTGGAGCCTGTGCGCACGGGCACTCGCAGGGGGATGACGCGGGAGGAGATTGCCCGTTAGGTTGCGCTTATCACCCGGGATCCCATCGGGACCTCCGCACCACCCGCCGCAAATGCGATATTCAGTAGACGTGCTTCCATTTTCTGTCCTTACCCCAAGGAGGATAATTCTGACGAGGAGCCGGTACCGAGGCAGCAGACCACCCCGCGCTCCGCGTTCCCCGTGAGATCGACGAGACGCACGAGGATCCCGACGAGGAGGAGACGAGGGCGCACACTGCACGACTGGCGGCGGACTGGGCGGAGAGGGAGATGGTGTGGGGAGAGGAGTTTTGGGGTCCATTCGAGGGCGTCGCTTCCACGGGCAGCACAAGCACGCGGGCGACGAGCCCCACTCCGACGAGGCGGGAGTCATCCATGCCGCCACCTTCTGCTCCGAGTCTTGCACCGCCATCGCCCGTCTCGCCAATTCAGCCGACCACGGCAGCAGACGACACGGAGGAGTTGGCGTCCTCTTTGTGTCAGCGCGGACTACTCCACAGAGGCGGGGCAGTCCGACAACTGAGGTTACGATCACCTTCTCAGAGGGTCTTGCAAGAGGAGGGGGGAAAGTTGACAGTAGCAGTGGAGGAGGAGATAGGCGCGCATGCGGACGTGTCGCGTGGGGGCGGTGACGACCGCCTCATGCAGCAGTTCCTCACGGAGCAGTTCGATCCGGTTATGGCGGGTATAACCCCAGGTGTAACGAGGGGGTTGGGGATCTCAGATTTGCAGATGGGGAGCCACTTAGACTTTGATTTGTCGATGGGCCTTCCACCTAGTTGCGACGGGGCGACATCAACGGGTCGGGCTCCATTGAGGGACGAAGCGGTAGAAGAGAGTCTCACACAGACCCCGGGAGAGAGGAGGACGACGGAGTCTCCAGATGCAGCACGCGACATTATGGAGCGAGAGAGGGCTCGACTTATGGCATCGACTAACACGCGTGCTCAGGCGTTCGCACGGGCGTTGGAGGCGAGGCGTCGAGAGACAAGGGGGGATGGGGTCCAGGGTGGGGTGGTGGCGGGGGAGGATGTTGTGGAGGGGG